GTTCTCAGCCTCACCTCTGTTGGCCCCCAAATTTTAGCTAAATGACCATAACAAGCATAAGGGAGGAAGATACACAAAGCCAATTGATGGCTCCTTTTGGAAAAATTGTACCACCGATGACACCGTCAGCAAAAATACCCCAACACTACCACAAGTCCCTGCACCAACAGATAGTTCACAATGCATGCAGGTGAGTTCACAATGAATACAAGTGATACATAGTCCAGGCAAGTTCTGCAAGCAGTTCAGTGATGGCTATTGCAGAAGCTGTAGATTGGTTTTATCTTTGTCTTCACCGGCACTGGGATGAAGATAGGAATTCTGGCAATAATGGCTAAAGAAAAAAATATGTAACATTCCAGAAGGCCCTAAAAGAAAACAATTTTCTTAACAATTTACATTGTCTTGAAGAGAATTATTAAATATAATGAAAAGGAAAGGTGAAAGTAAACAAACAGATCTGTTAACCTCCTTTTTTGTTCACCTTTTAAAACAATCCTCAACAGCTGTTTACCCAATTTAAATTAAACCATTTAAATAACGTGAATAAAAAAAAAATATTTGGATCCATTTTTTCATGAGCGCTCATCATATATGATATATGGACATATGTACATTCAAACATATAACACAAAACACAAGTGTGCACACATAATGTAATACATACAACACATAACATAATAGTAAAGACCTTATAACTTTTTACAGGTGAAATCTCCATTGAAATGTTTAAAAACTCTATAGTCAAAAAAATAGAACTGATCAGCAAAACATTAACCCAGGTCTGTATGAGCTCAAAAAACAAAATAGAACTTCATGATATGGGAAAGGGCAATAATAAAATAGATATTGAAAAAAGCATCCTGGTTCTGTCACAGATATAAGAATAGCCAAACTGGAGTTCTGGATATCAGCTGTTATGGATTTGAGCCAAATCATCTTCTTTTTGGTATGTAGAAATCGATATAGTTAATCTTTCTGGAATCCAAATCTACTGCTTTTCTCCCTGTGGAAACACATAAACAGACCCCCGACTGCAGACAATTACTGGGTCAGGACCTTTCCATTGTCCTGTTAGAATATCCTTCCAAAGTACCTTGGGCATCAGATGAGCTGACCTTAAGGCGTCAGCCTCCTGTCTTAGGTTGGTACCATTGCAATTGGATCTTACCTGTCACTGACTACATTCAAAGTACATTTTTTGGACACATATGCCTTTCCGCAGCACTAAGCCCTGATGAATCCAAATTTAAAAAGTTTAGAGTAAAAAGGGTTATTTTAAGTTTATCTTTGGGGAATATATACCCCTTCCCAATTCCTTCTCTTTGCTTTAATAAGTACATTTTAATATTTTGATGAGCTCTTCCAACTATGCCTTGTCCCTGTGGATTGTATGGGATTCCTGTTATATGAGTAATGCCAAATGTTGAGCAAAATTGTTTAAAAGAGGTAGAAGTATAACCAGGGGCATTATCTGTTTTTTACTGTTTTGGAACGCCCACAGTGGCAAAATTTTGCAAGCAATGAACTATAACATCTTTATTTTTTTTCTCCAGCATGAAGGGAGCCCATCAAAAATCTGGAAGAAGTATCAACTGTAACATGCAAATATTTTAATTTTCCAAATTCTGGCAAGTGTGTGACGTCCGTCTGCCAAATATGGTTAGGTATCAATCCTCTAGGATTGACTCCAAGATTAACTTGTGGTAAAAAAGTCACACAATTTTGACATTGTTTTATTATTTGTCTAGCTTGTTCCTTAGTTATTTTAAAACGCTTTTGTAAAGTATTAGCATTGACATGGAACTTTTTATGAAAATTTGTAGATTCTTCTAATGTAGAGAAAATATGTATATCATGTGTAGTTTTATCTGCTAAATCATTGCCCAATCTAAGGGCTCCAGGCAATCCTGTATGTGCCTTGATATGTCCTATAAAGAATGGATCTTTTCTGTCCCAGATTAGACTTTGTATAGTGGAAAGCAAAGAGAAAAGAGTAGAGGAAGGGGAAATCCTACCAGCATCTTCAAGGGATACTATAGCATTAACTATATACTGAATATAGGAAAATAAATTAAATACAGAATCTTTAAACATCACAAAAGCTAGTAATAATGCATTAAGCTCTACCTTTTGAGCTGATTGTTTGGGTACTAAAAATGTAAAGGTTTGATCAGGTGTAACTATTGCTGCTGTACCATTATTTGACCCATCAGTGAATATATTTGGAGCATTCATGATAGGTGTTTTTCTTGTCATTTTTGGAAAAATTACAGGATGTGATGACCAAAAAGACAATAAAGGATTAGATGGTAAGTGGTTATCAAATGAAACATTAGATTTGCACATGATTATTGCCCAAGTATTTAACTCATTAGCTAACTCATCAATTTGATTCATAGTATATGGAGTAATAATTTTATTGGGAGAAATTCCAAACACTCCCTTTGCTGCTTTTATTCCTTTGAGTATAAATTGTCCTACAGCCTCAGGATACCTAGTAAGAATAGTGTTAGAATGTATGTAAAGATAAATGTATCCATAATAATGGACCTTCTTGAAAAAATACTCCTGTAGGAATATTTTTTGTTGGTAATACAATAAATAATAAAGGCAAACTTATATCAATTCTATCCAAATGCATATTTTCCATATATGTTTCAATGATTTTTAATGCCTTTCTTGCTTCAGGCATTAACATTCGGGGTGAATTTGGATCTGATGGACCTTTTAGGATATCAAATAAAGGTCCCAACTCTCCTGTTGTTATACCCAGATAAGGCCTTATCCAATTTATGTCTCCTAATAACTTTTGAAACTCATTAAGTGATTTGAGTTGATCTACTCGTATTTGAATTTTTGGTGGACGGACCATGGTTGAGGATAATAGAACTCCTAAATAATTAGTTGGAAAATTTAATTGTACTTGTCAAAAGAAACGAACTTTATTTTTAGAACCACACAGGCCAAACAAAACAGCTCCTCAGGAAAAACCCTCAGAGCCCAACTGCCACCACCGGCTTCCCACAAGCCTCCCAACCTCACCCACTCCTCCTGCTCTTGAGGCCGATTGGCTGGGTCATGTGGGCGAAGCCAAAAAAGTCCCCCAATGAGCAGCTCCGTAGTCTGAAAGGGCGGGGAAACAGCCCAATGAGCATCACCGCAGAGGAGCCAATCAGCTAGATGTTGCTGGGGCCACTGTGAGCCAATCATCAGCTGGCAGGCTGAAAGTTTGCTGGGGCCCCTTCGGCTGTGGCTCTCAACACTGGGTATTATTGACACTTTAGAGTATTTGATATTCAAAGCCTATTATATAACTGACCTGGGAATTTTAGTATTAATCCAGAAATAATATTGACAACTAAATATATGTTTTAGTTTCCATTTAATCAGTGTGAACTGACCCTTAATTTTCTCTCAGATAGACAATGTGGGACATCACTTTTTTAGTAATAAAATAGTAAAATAAATTATTAAATCAGAGTCAAACTCCCCTGGAACTGCAAGGAACCACAACTTGTGAACCCCACAGCACGTGGCTTGAAGAAGATATTAATTCTTGAGGATGAGCCTGTGAAAGGACATATATCTCCTGAATCCCTTTCTGACAAGTCGTCCTGTCCCTGGTATCATTGATAAACTCTAAGCTTTGGCTTTGTGCCTGTTCCAATGAGATCCTACCCATTTTAAGACATTCCATTTGCTTCTGCTTATTAAGATAAGGCAAATGGGGATCTGGGTCTTCAGAGCACAGAAAGGCCACCAGGCCAACATACCTGCTCCTCACAGTGTGCAGAGGGCAGTGGCTCAAACAGGAAGGACAGCCACTGAAGTTTATTGTTGCTAAGGGAAACTATGACAGGGTCCTCAGCTCCTGGGGCCCATACACCAATATCCCACACTGTGGACAGGGTGTGTCAGAGGGCCTTGGCTGCCTGGAAAAGCAGCTCAGCCTTGGAGACCAAAATCACAAAGGCTCCTTTTCTCCCAAGCTGGAGGAGGAAGTCTAAATCTAATGTCCCAGAGCTATGGACCCAGAACACTTCCCCAGTGCCCTTCCCTGGTGCAATGCCCAGGAAAATTTCTGGGCAGAGAGAATCACCTTTGTACATGCAGAGACTCCACTCAGTGATGTTCTCACAGAGGGAGTGTCCTGTTCAGCACAGGACTTGTGACACCTGATTCCAATTGCCCTGAAAAGGAGCAGCAGAGGGAGGAAGGAATTCCCCATCAATGAGAATTGCTCTACAATCCTCCCTGACCACCCTACCCAGTGGAGTTAAGGGGTTCTTCTCTTGGGAAATGTTTGCATGACTATGCTGAGTCACACATATGGAGATGGCTACAACAGGATGTCCATCACTTTGTGGATCTGGCCCCCGGGAATTCCACACTAACTGTTTCAGGTATACATGTCCCTTCTCTGGCATTCGGCAAGGATACTGTCTCTCTGGCTGAAACACAGGACCCTTTTCCCCTCAGCTTCTCAAACACTTGGGGTCTTATTGCTTTCAACATGAAGAAAGAGGACATCTAACACTCTTCTTCACAGTCTCATATTTCTTCAGGTAACAGCAAACACAGAAGCTTGAGAACTGGCTCCACTGGGTGCCGACAGGGGTCAAAATTCAAAAATCAACACTTGTGAGGTGGGACTTGTCACATTGTCTCCTCTGTTGTGAGGGAGCCAGCAGGGTGGATGTTCCCTACCAGGGGCTGACCTGCAGGCTACCTCTAAATGCTTGGTCTGTGCTATCTTATGGAGGAAATCCCTAGGCACCTGATGCCAACAGAGCCAGGCTTCCATGATGGGGCCTCCTCCCCACACCACAAGTAGCCTGGGATGTTTCTCTACTGTGTTTCCTCCAAAAATAGAAGACATCTGGTGTCCCTGGACTCACAAGTTAGGCCCCTCCCTCCATCCCTATCCCCACCCAGCACACACCTGGGCATTTGCATGCTGTTCCCTGGGGAGGGCCTTCCTTCAAGGCTGACATAAAAGCTCAGCTCAAACCTGCCCTTGACTCACCAGGACTCCTCAGCTCAGCTTCTCAAAATGAGGCTCCCTGCTCAGCTCCTGGGGCTGCTGCTCCTCTGGATCCCTGGTGAGGACAGAGGGGATAAGGTGGGAGACTGGGGAGCCAGGGGAGCCCTGGGCACCAATTCTGCACATGTGTGCTATATACATGTAAGAGACGTGCAGGTATGTCTTCTAGGATGAGGCCGCTGAGGTCAATTGATGTGAGAGTGTATTCCAGAAGGAACAAGGGACTGGGCTCTGATCAATATTGTCACATAATATGAGGGGGATGTTGTAGGTCAATTCTAGAGAGGCTCTTCTACATCACAATATTTGAGATGTTTTTAAACATAAATAACTTTACTGTACAAATCAAAATCACAAAAATAAGTTAACCTGAAATCCACAATAAAGGAAAAAGCACAAATTCTCCTAAAGTATTTATATAACCTTGCATTAAACTATGATTTTTTTTTTCAGGAACCAGTGGGGATATTGTCATGACCCAGACTCCTGTCTCCGAGCCTGTCACCCCTGGAGAGCCAGCCTCCATCTCCTGCAGGTCCAGTCAGAGCCTCCTACACAGTGATGGAAACACCTATTTAAACTGGGTTGTGCACAAGCCAGACCAGGCTCCACAGCACCTAATATATAAGGATCCAACCGCTACATGGGGTCCCAGATAGGTTCAGTGGCAGTGGGTCAGGAACAGATTTCACACTGAGAATCAGCAGGGTGGAGGCTGAGGATGCTGGGGTGTATTACTACTGGCAAACCACATAGCATCCTCCCACAGTGGTGCAGCCCTGAACAAAAACCTGCCTGCCTGGGTGGCCCAGCTGCCACATGAGCTGGTGGTCTGGGTAGCACCTCAGCAGATTCTCTGCCCTGTGAGAGGAAGGTGCTGGGAACTCAGGGAACAGGGTGTAGCTGAGGGCTGTGGACCAGGACTACCTGGGCCACAGCTCACGTCACACCCATGAGTGGCCCTGTCAGCTGCAGCAGCCTGGCCTGGCATGGGTAGGTCAACACAGAGGTGTCCAGGCCCCTTCTGAATGAGCAGACAGGATGAGTGTGAACTCTGCAGGAGGAGCAGGACCTGGGGCCTGGGAAGGACTCGGGCACAGGCAGGGGATGGTATAGGGACCTTCTGCAGGTCCCTTTATGCTTGCAAATGCTGTTCTTTGTGAAGTTGGGATTCAAATCTAATCACAAACACAAAAAATACCTAAGCCCATAATAACTTATGAACGGAAAATGATAGCTTATTAACTGGGCACTTAAACTTGTATTCTCTTATTAATCTGCAGTGTCCAGCTGGAATACAGTGAGGATGCAGTTTCCACTCTCCCTGCCTGACACCCTTGACTCCCTGCCTTCATTTTTGAAAGGATCAGAGTTGGAAAAATCACTCATATGTTACCAAGAAGGTAGAAGGTTGTGCCATGGTGTCAAGGAGATTCCTAGATAATAGAGCTCCTGGTGAATGTAACGGAAATCCCAACTATTTGTGATGAGTATTAAATTTATATGCAAATATTTATTTATGTGGATGAAAAATAATTCACAGTTCTTTAAATTTAAAATGAATGTTGTGAATAAGTAATTTTTAAAATATTTGGAATCCAAGAAAGGTGAAAGAAACAATTGTGGTAAAGGGAAACTGTGATTAAAACCACACAGTTAGGGCTGGGGATGTGGCTCAAGCGGTAGTGTGCTCGCCTGGCATGCATGCGGCCCGGGTTCGATCCTCAGCACCACATACAAACAAAGATGTTGTGTTCACAAAAAAACTAAAAAGTAAATATTAAAAAAAATTAAAAAAAAAAACAGACAATTGTCCTTGATTTGGAGAAACAACTAAAGACGCTGCTCACAGAGGAGCAATCACTCAGAGAGACACGGAGGTGTGTAAAGGCACACACAGGGTGGCATGAATTAGTGGATGAATGTGCACTAATATTGGGTGCAAAAAAGACGGGTGAGTACCTTGTGCAGACAGAGATGTACATAAACCTGGGGAGCTTGAAAAGCAGTGTGTTAGCACAAAAAAAGGGAAATAAATGTAATTAAAAATTATACTGTTTCATGCAGTGGAAAAAAGTCATTTCTCTGGCTGTGGGAATGGAAACCAGAGCTTCTGCCCAAGAGGCACCTGCTCCACCACTGACCAACATCCCACAACATGCTCAAGATGAGCCCTGAGCCAGGGCCACACAGGAATCCACAGCCTGATTCTTCACTCACAGAAAGGCAGGGTGGTGGGGAGGATAAGAGGCTAATAGCTTAGCTGGTGGGTTAGGGCAATATTTTACACAAAATAATTGAATGCATGCAGACAAACAGTAAGAAGTTAAAAAAAATGATAACAAAGATGTATTGTCCATTGTTCACACAAAGTAATATTGTTTCACTGGGTAATGAAAACATGCATGCACCTTACATAATGTGAGCATCACAGAAAGAAGGTCTATGGATGGAAGTGTTGAGTAGTTCCTGAATTGTCCATGAAGTGTAAGAGTGCTAATGAGCTGACTTATCTCTGTAAAAATAGTGTCTTTTGTTTTTCTCTTTCATGGTTTGTCTTGTTGAAGAGTGATTTTGGCGGGGGGCGGGAACCATATTCTTTAACAGATAAAAATAATGTTCAATCACATTCCAGGCCTCCTCTCCCACAGGAGCAGAGGGAAGAGGACATGGGCTCCACATGGTGCACACGGGGATGGAGCCTCCCTTGCCTGGGTCCCCATATGATTCTGTGGAGCACCCCTGCCTGGCCCAGGAGCACACAGCCTTAACAATATGCTGTGGTGCCAGCTGTGACAAGTACAGTGGTGACCTCCATCCTGATTACTATGAATGCACAAAAGACAACCTGAGTGACAGGTGTCTCACTCAGTTCCCATAATGATGCTGTCTTAACATGTAAAAATGTAAAATTAAATTTATGCTTGAAATATAGATCAGTCTCTCCAGGGCTGAGGCTATGGTGAGTGTATATCCCCCCAGTTCATGTCACCCACTGGAGGTCAAGAAGTGGAACATCCTAGCACAGAATTCAGTGAGAGGAACCTACTTGAATGTGAGCCACCTCTGTGTCCACAGGGTCCTGTGCCCTCTGCTCTCCACAATGATGCTCTACAGCTCCCACCTGACCATCAAATGGGGCAGACATTCACACCCAGAGAGAAGTTCAGAACCCAACTGTTATGGGAACAAGGGAAGAGGGCAGAGCAGATGTGTCTAACGAGGTCATGAACTGAGTTCAGGACGAGCTCAGGGCAAAACCAGGTGTCAAGTCAAACCAGGTATCCTATCCTGCTTCTCCAGTACAGAGTCCAGATCCAAGAAACAGCAGGATCAAAGACATCCAACATACACCTTTCCAAATATGCTGAACTTATTTCATGAGATCCTTCAAGATGGGACTTCTTTTGTCATCTAAGGTCAGTGTGAAGTGAACAAATACTTTCTTGTTCCCACTGCTGTCTCTTCGAACAGTTTGAACCTCAGCTTGTAATTTTTTTTTTCTCATCACAAGTAATAAAATGTGTGCCTTTTATCCTGTCTGTGTGTGTGAACTTAAACATATCTCTTCTTCCATGAGACTTCCAAGTAAGAGTTCACTCCAGGGAGATGCTCCCTGAGGTCAGGTGGCCTCACGGTGCCCAGGCTCACACCACCTAGTGAGCTTCAGCTTTGCCCACCCTAACATGAGAAGTGCCATAAAAAAAAAAAAAATCTCCCCCTAATGAGCAGTAAGACCAGTCTACAGTAGCCTCCCGAACCCACAAAGAGCAATGCCCTGTGTCCCATGCACTCTCCAGCTCTCCCTAATTTCCCACAAATGGTCCAGACACCTTCTCATACAGGGTCCCTGAACAGCAGCAAGATCTGAAGGGGACCTTGAAATGAGAGTGCTCACTGCTGCCCTCTGCTGACCCAGCCCACACTTTGCACAGTCCCCTGAAGGTCACTCCTTTTTCAGGGCCCTTTGCCTTCCTCTTGTGAGGATTCCTGTGATGTGGGGCCAAAGGCTCAGAGCTGCTTCAGCATCTCAGAATATCAGATTATGAAGAGTCAGACCCCTCACCTGTCCTTTGTCTGCATTCTACATGTGGGAAACAAACTGGAACAGAACATGTTTGCACCAGGACCTGGACTTGGTTCATCCAAATGACCCTAGTGCTCTGCCCTCATGTGAGACACTCCTGACAGCCCACAGCAGACAAGGACACACACTGGTGGCTCTATGCACTGCAGAAGATATGCAATCTCCTGCTGAGATGGTCCTTAATACCAGCTTACCACTCCTCTCTGAACCTCATTGCCATCTTCAGATATCTATCTATCTATCTATCTATCAGATAGATAGATAGATAGATAGATAGATAGATAGATAGATAGATAGATAAAATAAAAGACAATCCATGCATGGAAGTATCCTTCAAAACCAAAATGCCACAACACAAACCTTTCCCTATTTGTGACTTCATGTTCAAGATAGATCCTGTGTTTTTTTTTTTTAATTCTCACTTTATTTAATACTGAAGTATATTTACATTCATTTAGTTTTCTTTAATGTTGTATTCAAATATGATTCATGCAAATATCAAAATTGGGGAGCTTGTTAAACTTGGCCTCCAGGGCCAATGCCTCCTTAGGTTTGGCCCACTCTGAGCATGTCCCAGGAGGCCAGGAGCATAGGTGACTTCTAAACACCAGAGACCCCTGTCTTCATGCAGAGAGGACTGCCCTGGGAACAGAGCCTTCCACATGGAAGGGTCAGGGTCCCAGCTCCCTGTAGAAGAGAAACTGGGGGATAAAGGCCCACGACCCAGACTCCTCAGAAGACAGCTCTATGGCTCTGAGCAGGTCCAGAAAACCAGAGGAATGGAGGCAGTAGCAGTTTCTGCAAGTACAGGCAGAAGTCTTGAGAGAGAAGGACTCAATGATGGGCAGGTCAGAGAGGGGGCACCGGTAGAGAGCTCCATCTCCAAAATGGACCCCTCCATGCTCCCCCCACTTTAATCTCCCTGCACCAGCGAACCCACCAAGCCCACCTGGGTGTTGGCAATGGTCTCCTAACTGTGCTCTCTCCTGTCTTTGACCTGTAAAGAGCCTATTCCTTTGTCCTGTCACCCACCAGTTAAGCCTTTGTCTGTCTCCTCATAGACACTGTGAAGAATTCTGCAGTGATCATGGCTGTGTGGTCATCCCAGTTGGTGACCTGGTTCCCTTGAGTTAATGTCCAGCAGAGGGATAGTTGTGTCACAGATTAGTCCTATATTTAATTAGGTTAGGATCTAAAACAGGCACATTTTCTTAATTTTTCCCTGGGACTTGCAAACTATTCAAGGAATAAATCAGAAACATGTGATACTCAGCAATAAGGATGCTTGAATGTCCTCTGAGGAGAAAGCAACTGGCAAAGACTCACTAACCCTTGGCCTGGCAGGAGGTTCACGTTTGAGTCTGAAGCTCTGTGGGGGAAGCATGTGGTGGTACACTGCCTCACCCTGGAGCCTGTTGTGGAAAGCTGTCCCTGGCCCTCTGCCACTAAACAGCACTGGGACCCCAGCTGCCCTTGGGGGCACTCAGGAGAGGATCAGGCCAGGACCCTGTTCTGGTTTATGCTGGTTCCAGGCCCTGTCATGCTCTGGTTGAATAAGAGACTCTGGTTAGACTTGCAGCTGATGGTGACCATGTCTCCTGCAGACACAGAATGCTGTCTGCACAGGCACCTGAAATCAGGGAAATGAACAATGAACTATGAACACACACACACACAAACACACACACACAAACACACACTGTGTCATTTGTACTTTGAAATACCATCTACAATCCCTTTGCCAGGGTCTTGTGAGTCAGCAAACAGTAAGATAGATAGATAGATAGATAGATATCTCCACTGTTTCCCAGTCCATCTTCTAATTGCTATTCCAACTCCACAAATTTATTACTCTGAGGCCACTGAAGTACTTAAGTTGCTCCCCTGAGGCCCAGAGCCACAGGAACAGGCACACCAGGGACACCATCCCTGCTGCACTGCCTGCCTGGCACAGCTTGGTTCTTGTGGCAAAGTCCTCCTTTATAACATGTGGGCACTGAAAGGGCTGCAGGAGCCTCTGTGGAGACATTATATCATGAGGGGCAAACTGCCTGGACTGTGGGGCCAAGCAGAGCCTCCAACACTGTGCATAGTCAGACAGATTAATGAAGAGCTTTTATTCCTACTCAAATTACTTGAATGGATTTAGTACTAAAAAATGTGCAGCTAATTACCCCAGATTAGTAATCCTGGTCAAATAATAAAACAAGCTGGAAACAACAAAGCAGGTAAAGAGAGAGAAAGAGAGAGAGAGAGAGAGAGAGAGAGAGAGAGAGAGAGAGAGAGAGAGGAGTTAGGGAAGGGAGGGAGGAAGAGAGGAAGGCAGTGGAGGGAGAGGGACAGAAACATCTCCTGAGAGTACTGAAAAAAAGGTCAAACCACATTCTATATTCAGAAAATCAGCAATTTTAAGGAAAATGTAGAAACCT